TCATACACTCTTCTCACCCTCGCTCTGTTCCTTGGTGGGAGGGGTCTTGTCCTGGCTGCTGTCTGGGGGTGCTGGCTTGGCTGCAGGACTGGGGCTGCTGCTGGTGGATGGTAAGAGGTTGGCAGACTGCAGGACAGCTTCTGAGTGCTCTCGGGCCTTCATGCGCAGGGCAGCCACACTGGCTGTGCGGTTACTCTGGCAGCCGTAGGTGGGGAGGAAGGACAGCCCCATGGGGTCCGAGACACAGCAAGAGCACAGTGGGCTTCCTGGAAAATAAGAACAGCAGGCTCCAGCACCATCCACAGACCATCTCTTGAGCTTGGGCTGGGGAGGGAAAGGTCTGGGGGGCCTGAAGGAGGGACAGATTTATTTTGGTAGATTCTAGACATTAATGGGAGAGGTAACAAGTGTCTGAGACCCCAAAGATATACAAATCCAACAGATTCAGCTAAAAATCCCAAGGACTATAGGGCATCAAATCTTGGCCTAACTCCCTCATTAACCAGCTGTGTAGCATTGGGCCAATTCCTTGGTTTCTCCAAGCCTCAACTTCTACTTCTGTAAAATGGGGTAATGCCAACTTCACAAGGTCATTATGAGAATTCAATGAAGCATTATCACATTCCCTGAACAATGTATGGAGACACCCCTAAAAATTCACAAAAACACTGTGGTAATATTTTCCATTTTCAAGCCATGATGCCATACAAACTACTAGCTTAAAGGAGTTCACATCTTCAGCATTAGATCACACTGCATTCCTTCAACCATGTCATATCTTTGTGAAGCTGGGGTTAGCTGGATTCTACCAGCATCACATGAAAAGTCACATAGCATATAAAATGAGGGTGGTGATGTCCAATAGGATTCCAAGGCTAGAGAAGACACACAGAGCCCATGAGGCATACACATTTCATCAGAAAGCAGAGTTATTGAAGAAAAAAAAAAATACTATCTTTCTATCAATTTATAAATATTGTTTTTCAAATGGTTGCTAAGCTATTGAAACATAATTACTGATTGAGTTGTCTAAACTCAACTATTAAATGAACAGAACAACTAGAAATTTCTTATGGCCTAAGGGTGTCATGAGGAGTCCTTGGGTGGTGCAAATGGTTAACAAACTAGCCAAAAGGGTTGGATGTTCAAGTCCACCCAGAGGTTCCTTAGAAGCAAGGCATAGAGATCAACTTCTTAAAAATCAACCATTGAAAACTCTAGGGAACAAAGTTCTACTCTGGTACACATGGGGTTGCCATGTTTGGAGTCAACTCAACAGCGACAGGTAGGAGTGTTATGAAAAATAACTGAGCTCCTGTGGGTACCAGGAACTGAGGTTTGAGAACTTCTGAAAGAACCAGATTCTTCTGAAAGAATCAGTGTGTGGAAAGCACATTGCACAAGGCCTAATGTGCAATATGGGGCCCAGGAGAGATTGCATGATTCTCAGCCAGCCGGCAGTGCTATGTGGAGCACTTGGGAAAAGAACAGCAGGCCTCTCTGTCATACCAGATCAAGGAGCCCCCAGTAGTGCTGGTTCACTCACTCATGCAATCACACATTTATCCAATGAGGAGCCTGTGAGCACCAGGCACTGTGTCAGCCTCTAGAGGGTCCACTAGTGAGTAAGACAGCAAGACCCTTCATTCTGGAGGAAGCATAGAGCAGGGAGGCCCCTGGGAGCTGAGCCCATCATGAGTCTGTGATACAGAATCAGAAGTGATGGGTGCTGTGGGGGAAAAAAAAAAGTGAAGACTGAGGTGGAGAGATTGACATCCAGGATGAAGGCATCTAGGATGGAAAGAAGAGCAAGTGTCAAAGCACAGAGTGGAACAGAGCTCACATGTTCCAGAAGCAATGGGACATCCATAGTAATTGGAGTTTAGTGACCGCACGGAGGGGATGTAAGATGGGTCAAGGGGACATCAGGGGCAGATTGCCCTGCAGTCATGGCAGGCAAGGGAAGGGAAGCCCTCACAGGGTTTTGAATAGAGAGAGTCTGATCTTAATCGCCAACCTCAGCAGCATCAGCCAGATGTACCCACCCTCCTCTCCAAGGACAAGCTTCCTAGTGTGGGCTCCTGTACTATACATTCCTTCAGAACATTCAGGTGTATTTTTCTTGCTTTCCAAGCCTGCTCTGAGGCAAAAGGAAGCTCACTTTACCAGTGCTTTATCCTGTTGTCCCACTACCATCATGACTCCCTGAGTGGTGGGTATTCCCCATTCCTACCATCCAGGTTGGCAAATCCAAGCTCCAGGAGGAACTGGCCCAAGATGGCACAGTTTATTGCAGAGGTAAAGCTAGAGTCTTCTGCTTTTCTGCAACATAACAGGGGGTTTACATGCAGTTGTCACTTCCTGCTTCAATTCTGACTGAAGGGCCAATGCACTATGTAGCAGATACCAAGATGACTGTGAGACACACCACAGATGCCAACTGGCAAGGAATTCTGAAAGTCAGTTCCACTCCCCAGACCCCCTGATGGCCTCTTGCCTGGTGAAGAGCAGAAGAAGACAACTGCCATCCTGTGCCATTGATAGGGGCACACAGAAAATTACATTTGGTTAAATTCTGAATGCCAATTGCTCCACTTATGGTGACTATTCCATAGACTCAATGCACACTGCCACCAATCACAGAGACACAGCCACACACTGATTCCCATCACAGATGTAGCCTCACACTGACACCAGTCATAGAAACACAGCTACACACTGACAAGTGCAACAGAGACACAACAGCACTCTACTCCCATCACAGAGACACACAGGAGTGCAAGTTTTCACTGTGCTGAGAAGAAAGCTGCTAGCAACATGAGCCCCAGGAGCCACCTTGAGGCTAAGATCTGTGCCCCTACAAGGAAAGCCTTCTCTGTACGCCACCCCTTGCTATGCCCCAAATCTCCCTCCCAAAGGAAGCTCACAAGTGAAGACATCTTAAGATAAAGAGACCAAAATATTAAGAATGGATAGAGAAGTGGGAAAAGGGCTGTTACATTGTCGGGATTACAAACAATACCATGAAACAAAAGGTGTACGAACTGTCGTATGGAAAATGAATTTTCTCTGTAAATTTTCAGCCAAATCAAAATTTAAAAAAAAAAAAGAAAAAAGAATGGATGGAGATCTCTCTTGGGAGTAGAACTGCCCAAGATTTCTATTTTCCTCTCTGTGTTTATTCAGAATTTTTCTCATTTTTCTTTAATGAGCATGAATTTTTTTAAATGTAGAAGCAAATTTTATTTCAAATTCACATTTTAAAAAGGGGAGAGTGAAGACAAGTTATCTGGCACATCTGAGGGGCAGCCTGAGAGAGCTGGGGAGCTCCACATTGACATATGGTGAAGGTCAGGAGGGCTGTGAGCTGTGGACTTGAGGGGAACAGTGGCTCAGACTCAGCCCCAGGCAGCTGGCCAGGTTGGGTCAGCCTGATAAATGGGGTTCAATGTATCTTATGCTGATTCTTGCCACAGCTAAAGACTCACTCCAGTGTGAACATCAATGAATGAGTCAGATGGTCTGTGACCAAGAAATGGACATGATGTCCTACAGGGACAGAGTGCCATGTGGACAAGATGCAGCCTCCTTCCCTGGATTCCAGCCCTGTGCCTGACAGGTCACACCACAACAGGCTCCCAGAACACCACTAATGAGTGCCTTCTTGGCCCCCAAAGTCCAAACTCAAAGGCTAGAGAAATGAACTAACTCAGAATCAAGAATGTGGAAGAAAGAGGAGTCTGTGTAGATCACTTTGTTCACCACACCCCATACAGAAAGGGAAACTGATGATCAGATGAGCCCAATAACTCTGGGAGGCTCTATTGTCAAAATTCTAAGGGCCCTTTGTAGGATGCACCTTCTTTCCTCTTCTACTGCCCAGTCTGAACAGCAATTGATGTGTCCACCAAAGGGGAATGAAGTGTAAAGGTGGACTCATAAATGTCTAAAAAGCCACCTCTAAGAATGCTGTATTGGAGCACAGGAAGTCTGGAGGGAGTTCTTCAGAGGGCTCTCCTCTTTGCCTTGCCCTGCCATAGGTAAGGACATAGAAGATGTGCTGATCACAGATATAGGTACAGGTAAGACTGAGAGATGTGGTCTGTTTACCAGACAGGATCAGAAGTAAATGAGGAGCTAAATTAATGAGATGATATTGAACTGGGAAAATGAAAATTCCATGATCTGCTTCTCAGGATACAACCATTCAAAGGGAGAAGTGACTTAGCAGCCATGCATATGGTAAATAGGACTTTACAGTGAGAGTAGTACTGTTGCCCAATATGGTGTGGGTTGTCTTAATAGAGGCAGAACCTGCAGGAAAGTGAAGCTTCTCTGGGTGGTGCAAATGGTTGACATAGTTTGCTGCTAATTTATTAAAAATACATAAAATGTATTGGCAATAGAAAGAAAGGGGGGAATGGGAAAGACAGTATACTAGGCACACACAAAAAAAATATCACTTAGTCTTTTCAAGAACGCTGAAAGTAAGTGTTATCATTTATATGGAAGCACCAGTTTAAAAAACAGTGTATTGCATTGGGCATATCTTTTGCAAAAGATCTCTAATGTGTTAAAGAGCAAAGATGTCACTTTGAGGACTAAAGTGTGCTTGACCCAAACCATGGTACTTTCAATCATATCATATGCATGTGAAAGCTGCACAATGAATAAGAAAGCACAAAGAAGGATTGATGTCTTTGAATTATGGTATTCACAAAGAATATTGAATATTACATGGACTGCCAGAAGAATGAACAATTGGTCTTGGAAGAAGTGCAGCCAGAATTCTCCTTAAAATGAGGATAGTGAAACTTTGCCTTATGTATTTTGGACATGCTAGCAGGAAGGATCAGTCCCAGGAGAAGGACATCATGCTTGGCAAAGTAGAGGGTCAGCAAAAAAGTAGAAGACCTTCAAGAGATGGATTGACATAATTACAACAACAACATAACAATGATTATAAGAATGGCACAGGACTGAGCAGGGTTTCATTCTGTTGTACATAGGGTCGCTATGAGTCAGAACCAACTTCATGGCACCTAAGAACAACAATAATAAAGATTAAAGGACTTAAGAGATGTTACTTAGATCTATTGCCAAGATTGGAATCCAGAACCATATCTAATACCCAACAGACCAAAACATTCCCACCTAAGACATCTGTTTCCTGCTCCTCAGCCTGCCACATTCTTCTCTGGATCTTCATATGCCTGGCTTCTGCTCACCACTCGGCTCTCAGACCAAATGGCCCCTTCTCAGAAAG